ATGTCCTGCGTACTTGTGCAATCTCCTCCATGCCAATACATCTAAATCCAGAGTGTCCTGGCTCTTCTCGATGCGTTTAACTTCTCGGCGGGCTGCGACAGCATAGTGTTCATCGCTCTCATCGGGGAGGCGCGGCCAGCTGAGCTGTCGCGCAAGCTGTTTGGTCTGTGCCGCCCTCAGCGCAAGCGCCCGCCTGCGACTCAGTTTCCATAGTACGCAAAACCAAAGCGATGTTGCCTGCGCAACCTTGTGTATAAGCGCAAGTCCTGAGGTACGTGAATTCGGCCTGGATGCCATCAAAGACTCGATAAATGCCATCGCCGAGGTAGCCGTGAACGTCCCTGCTCGAATGCCCCGATCCAGTTGCCCACGTGCACTCATCCAGACACCTGTGATCTCGACATACTGCTCACCCTCATGAATCAAAACCTCCGGCCAGATGCCCCGCAGAGGGATGGGTTTCCTCAGTATTGTTGGCCAGCATCTGGATTTGATCAGCAGGTAACTGCCAACCAGATGGCGCCAGAGCCTCCCGAAGCTTCATCCAGATCGACTTAGACCCTGCCATCGTCTTCCCGAAGATTAATATGCTGTCGCTCGAGACAATGGGTGGAATGAACTTGGTGCTTCAGCGCTTGCACCGCTTCTCTCTGTGAAAAGGACAATGGCAATATCTAAAACATCTAAAACTACCGTTCCCAGACCTTCGCCCACGCATTCTTCCCAAATACAATGTAGACAGCCCGCGAGCACAATCTTAGAGAACGCCAGTCCCCAGGCAGACCCCTGAGGCGCGCCGAGTGCGACATGCACCGCGGTGGCCGTTCCCCCGCGCACATGAACATTATGCCGTGTGGATCGTATATGTCTCAAGAACCAAGCGCTGACACGTGGTGGAAACCTCGCCCCCCCTGACCCAGTAGAAGTCTAACATGTGAAAGATTGTCAAAAGCCTTTGGAATATCTGCCAGCGCGCGCGCAAATCCCAACCAGCGTTGAATGCTCTTCTGCGCCGCTAGCACGACGATGAAGACCACGCCCGCCACAGAGTGCCCTTCCTTAAATTCATAATGCCACGGCGCATGGCGCGCCAACAACGCGCCCCCCAATAACTCTCGGTAGAGCAGGTAGCGCAGCCAGCGGGCGTAGGTCAGTAAACCACTTAACAAGTAGCTCCTTCGGAACCAGCGCCAAGCCGGCAACGGCCCTTTGACCATCAATATGCACGTGCTTCTATCGAAGCGGGTAGTCGGATAAACATCGTCGTTTCCTTTTGGCCTCGTGCCCGATATCAAGATCGAGACAAGCCGGCGTAATAATACAACATTCTCCTCGTAGGTCCCTGTCGACCGCCTGCTTGACGGTCCAAATCGGGTCGGTGACCTTAGCATTCTTGGCGGGCAGCATCACATGGATCGGCGTCGCGGGCCTGTTCCCCTCCGCCGCCGCAGCCGCGGGGCAGCAGATCGCACGCGCATGCGCGATGCCAAGAGTGGCGGGCGAACGCGCGCGGCATTCGTCGACGCCTGCGTTCGCGAGCCTGTCAGCAGCGACGGACATGACAAAATCGATTTCGACCGGCCCTAGCCAGAAGAAATAACGCCACCGATCTGCAAGACGACGTTCTAGAATCTGCAACATCCCACAGCCCCGTTACCTGCGTCATGACAGGATCACAATCTCCCTCAATCGACAAAAATCAGATCTAACATGTTCATTTCGGCACTGTAACGCTAGTTCCAGAAGTTGAACAAGCCCATGCCATTCAGGATCTATAGAAGACGCCCCAGAAAGTATGCGATGAGATAGAGTAGCCATGTCCGCCCCTCTGGAATCAAACAAAACATACACCCACATCCAACATTTGCAGCATCCTCCTAGCCCCATCGAATTGACCCACCCAAGCACGGCCATGATCACCAGGTCCCATATCACCCGAACCGGCCATCTAAAGCAAGTTCGACGGTATCTCATTCCCCTGCATGGCTAACGCTTGCAACATCTCCCCAACCATCATATCCTCCGAACAGCAAGGCATCCGAGGTTTAAGACTCACATGGGCGATGTGATGGATGGCGAAGGCGTCGTCGATCAGGAAGGAGGAATACCCAATCAGGAAGACTCAGGGCCGACTGACGAACCTCAGAAAATTGCCTAGAATAGAACTCCCGGCCCTTCTGCGCAATGGTGGAAGGGGGCGTGATGGACTCATGTTTTTTTTTCTCGCAATCGCATGGCTCCAGGCGGCCAGTGGTGGCAGTTTTTCTCTTGCCCCGGCCGCCGCCGCGGGGGTTGTCAAGCGCCCCCTGCGAAAAGGGGCGCGTGCGCGTGCACGACGCAGCCGCCGGCGCCCCGCCCAGACCGGGCGCGCGGCCGCGACCTTGAGGGCCTGCGTGGGAGCTCTCCTCCACTAACCATCAGGATACGAAGCTGCCGTCGATCAAGCTCAGCAGCAGCCCGTCGTTGACAGAGGTGCGCCTGTCTCCCAGGCCGCCTTGCCAAGAGTAGAAGACAGCGCGTCCACCCTCGCATGAATGATCATGTATCTCGCCAGCCACCGTCTCGACGCACTTTTCTGGGCACTGGACCGTCCGCCCGATCGGCTTCTTTGTCCTCCATGCTGCGTCGTGGCAACACTCCAGGGTGAGCAGCGCGTATATGTCGCCCGCGCTGGCACGAGCCGCATCCACAAAACGAACCTTACGGACACGCAAGGCAAAAGTACGCAATAGCATGCAACCCTCTATGGAATTGCCAACTCCCAGCGGCGCATCAGCACCGAACGTGAAACACGTCGGCACACGCGCCGCCTTACTGAAAGCGCGCGGACAACAAAACCTCATGCGCTGCGCCTGGAGAGTGAGCCACCCACCTCGCTCAGTTCGTACACCGCGTGGAGTGTTCACCGAACGCGAGCGCATCGGCCTCCGACTCTTGACAGGGAATTGGTGCATACTTGCTCGTCTAAATATGTAAACCGTGACAGAGTAGAAGTCCTCCTCAGACTGCGCCTGTGACAGATACGTTGCTGCAAAATGGAAATTCGCGCCATTGACCGCCACCCTCGTGCACGTCACTCGCGCGTGGTCAGGCTCCGCGAATTGATAAATGGCGCGTGCATGTCTACGACGAACCACCATTGCACAGCCACGTACTTGGAGATCTCCAGGAGATGCCACAACGCAATGACCACGCAGAAAACTGTGAACATAACTTTCTGCCCAACAAATTCTCGCAGGAGTAGGATGTCCCACTCAATCTCGTCGCTAAGCGGTTCTAGACATCCTTCGAACTCCCCAGGGCTGACCCCGCAGCAATTGAGAGTTGCCACATTCGCCGTAGGAGTGTGTTTCTTGCCCCATGCACGTGTACGATTAGCTCCGGAACGAACGAGATTCCCTAAAGTCCTCCTGCGACTGTGAGATCATGTCCAGAAGCTGATGATCATTGGCACCCTTGACCATCGGGGACGCCTTGAGCTCCTCCGGAAAGTTGTCCTTGATGAGTGTCGGCCTCCCGTCCCTGTTGATTCTGGCGACCGCTGGCCTGTTGCCCTCTGGACCAGGCAACCTGATTTCGTTCTGAAGGAGCACGATCATGAGCTTCCTGTTCCTGCCTTCAGCTTTGCTCATGGCTGCAACCATAAACACGAAAAGTGAAGTAACTGCCTTCTGCTCCATAGACTGGTGCATCATCCAGAGGTTGAGAACACGGGGCTGAGGGGCACCTGGAATCGCAGCCGGCGTGTACACACCCTTGCAGTGGCTGGCCCCTCCCAGCCCTATCACGTTCGACCTTCTCCCGATGCATATTCAATATAGCCAACACAGCACGATCATCTCGCATGTAAAAGCCAACATGATTCCCAGGACTCGCACACCACCGCCTCGATACCACACCAGGTTCCACCAGCGCTTGCAGTGCATCCAGGTATGGCGCCATCGCATCCTTCTCATACGCATCTTGGAAACCTCCAATCACAATCTTCAGCGCATCATCGCATTGAGGAGGAGGAGGAGGAGGAGGAGGTCAGAAACCTGGCACCCTCGTCGATACAGCCGATGACGCATTCGACACTGGCCTGAACCCAGCAGCGGCATCCCTCGCAATTTTCATGGCCTCATTGGCCCCCATCTCCGCATGATTGGAGGCCGCCAGAGCCATGTCCGCCTTGCCATCGACTCTATTGACGTCGGTCCTGGTGAGCGTCAGCTGGTCCTCAACATTCCTGTCCATTCCCTTCATGAAAGCCAGCAGCATGGCGTTGGACGGCTCCATGCCTGCGGTGGCCACAGGAGCCGATATGGAAGCCGTTCCTCCTCCGCACAGTTCACCTTCATCGTCAGACGTGAGGCCTCCAAGGGGTGCCTCGCTCGCGCGCTTCGCCACTGCAGAGCTCTAGTCTCGAAGGACCGTCGGAGGCGGCGGGCCACCTCAGCAAAAAGGCCAACACATTCTTGAGCCAAAATGGGAGGAGGAGGAGGAGGAGGAGGAGGAGGAGACAATGCGCTTCGCCACTGCTTGAGGGTTGTTCGCCCCTATCGCCGCCTCCGAGCAGGGTGCCCTGGAGTACCGCTTCTGCAGGACCCTGGCCCAGCGCACCTCGGCGGTGCGCAGTCATACAAGTGGGCCGCGCGGAGGGAGCGCGGCCTCCCGAGAGGAGAGCGGGGAGGCTCAGAAATCAAGCGCCCTGCTCAAAGCCCAAGGGGGGGCAAAACCATGGAATCCTGGCGACTCCATATTGTCGAGCGGGGCGTTTTCGCTCCATCTCGGGTACCCTCGCAGATCGATCCGGCCCGGAAAAAAACAACAAAAAAAACGCAGAAGGATAGGGTCTAGGGGTCCGGTCGATATGTTTTGCGTTGTTGCAATTGTTTTCCTGTACATGTTCGGCGACGAGCGCGGGGTGGAAGTGAGAAGGAGAAGGCCTCCTCAGAAGGCTCGGAAATTCCCCAGCCTTCTGAGAAGTTGTCTAGGCCTTCCCCAAAAACATAGCAAAACGTCTCAGAAGGCGCGAGGGCTTCTGGGAAGTCCCGCCGCCTTCTGAGAAGGCCTCCTCCTTCTCACTCCCCCTCCCCATCGCTCGCCGTCGTCAGGTATAGAGGCCTCCTAGATGGGGCCGGAGTAGATGGGGTCGGAGGACCGCGCCGCATCGTCGACGCCAGCGTGGAAAGAATCGGGCTCCACATCGAATTGCATCGCCGATGCATCGACGATACGGCGCGATCCTCCGATCCCCATCTGTTCGGACCCCCTCTAGGGGGCCTAGACTCGCCCTGGCCCCGTCCGACCTCCCCCATTTTCTTCTCGGCCGCAGAAATTCGCCCAAACGAACCCAACGGAGGAGGAGGAGGAGGAGGAGAAGGAGGAGGAGGAGGAGGAGGAGGGGGAGGAGGAGGGAGGAGGAGGGAGGAAGGAGGAGGAGGAGGAGGAGGAGAGGAGGAGGAGGAGGGAGGGAGGAGGAGGACGAGGAGGAGGACGAGGAGGAGGAGGAGGAGGAGGAGGAGGAGGAGGAGGAGGAAAAGGAGGGGGAGGAGGAGGGCTTTCGTCCCGACCGCGCCCTCCTGGCGCTGCCCGAGGCAGGGCGAGGGCCCCCCCCCTTTTGGTGCCGAAGTTGCCCAGAGTCCCGCCGCCCTCCTCCTGCTCCTCGTCGTCGTCCTACCCCTTTGGCTCCTCGTCCTCCTCGTCCTCCTCGTCCTCCTCCTCCTCCTCCTCCAGGAGCCACTCTGGCCCAAGGACCCGCCTCAGCTCCGACCGCGCACCTGCTCATTGAACCCCATGTGAGCAGTACGTCCCAGGGCAGCGCAGCGGGGCTGGGTCGTCTCGGGCCAGATAGTGACATGGGCACACTACGTCTGAGGTGGTTTCTCATAACGAAGATTATCTGCCATAACGTGCAGAGCGCGGATTTCCCGCGCCTCGAGGAGATTTCCGAGAACCCAGCGAACAACGACTTGGTCATATCCATTGGCACTGGCAAAGCGGCTCATATTGAGACAGAGATCACGCAGTGCCAGCTTCCTCATCACAAAGCTATTCAGTTTGGATGGCGGAAAAGCAGAGTTACGAATCGAAGTTGTGGTTTAGCAGTATTGTACGGCGAGAGGCTCAGCGGCACCGTGTCCAACATTCAGGTGCCGCCTAAGTCTCGTGGCCTGTCTGGAAGGTTGGGTTTAGTTTCATGTGGGGAGAATGAGTCTGGCAGTGTTTGTTAGTTACTTGCCACCGAAAGGAACAGTTGCAAAACTATTACACAACACAATGCAAGCAGCGCTTGGTTGGATTCAGGATGAGATGGATCGCATGGGCAGCAATTGGCGACCGTTGATCGTTGGAGACTTGACCTGTGCGTTCGGGGTCCGCAAAAACGTTACGGGCAGGAATTATGTGCGGATCCGCAACGGGGTTGGCATCAACGGGCCCGCATTGGAAGGCAAAACTTCTACTATAAATGGCGAATTTCTGGAAGAGAATCACATGGCGCTTGAGACACACTCGTGACGTCAGGGGCGACCTTCTTCCATGGGGATGCACAGAAGCAAGATTGACCACATCATTATGCCGCAGTCTGCCGCCCCCCGCATGGCGAGATTGAACGCGCTGCAGGGACTGGGGCGGGGGCTGAAAACGTTTGTATCTACACGTCTACATGATCGCGTGCCCGTCTTGGTGCAGATGGGCATCGGAGTGCGCAGATCCCATCAGGCTCGCTTCGCACCACCTGCGAATAGAGATGCGATGGTGGTGGCGGCCTACACCAGAGGCCACCGGCGGCAAGGGTTTCTTGGGAACGTCGAAGAACGCGCACAACATACCACTGAAGACTACTGGAGACAGATATGGGACCGTGGCGGCGCGCAAGCAGCGCGGGACCTTCTATCGGGATGCATTCGCGAAAGCATGACATCACATTCCCCGAGGCAAGAGAACGCCATCATCGATTACGAGCAGCTGCGCGAGCAGTGGATGCAGCTTATTAGAGAGCGCGGCGATCTGCGTGGGCATCTACATCGCACAGGCGGCAACGCCTTCGAGGGCAACGGCTCCAGCGAATTCGACAGAATCGAGCAGCAATTGAAGACCGTGGCGCGCCGCGTGCAAGGGCTTCGCAGACAGCAGAAATCGGAGAAGGCGGAGACTCTAGTCAACGAGATCAAGAAGGCTCGGCGGAGTGGCAAAATGGCAGATATGCACAGAAATTGCGTCATATTCCCGGGCGCGGGCAAGGGTCCAAAAACGAGGTTCTTATTCTCAGCCAGGCAGACTATGACTACGACAGAATGGAACTGGGATTGACCGAAGCCCCTCAGGACGGAAGGATGCAGCGCGCTAGATTGAAGTGGACAGAATGGATTGGTGACCGCAGTCTCGGCCACATCTGCATCGACAGCCTGACCTCAGAGAGCTCGTGCGCAGCGACAGGATGGGAAAGATCGGGCATCCTCGTCGAGCACCTAAGCGGCGAGCTGGGCCGCCTTGAGGAGTACTAGCAAAGGCCCACGGCATGCGCATTGATTATCGCACGCGCCGTTTTTTTCCAAGGCGTGGGACATGCACGCCAGAGGCGTTCAGCAAGCGTTACAATGATTTGCTAGCTTTGATGAGGGTCGTCGGATTCGCTCCGCCCACGTCGCTCCGCGCGCAGTCGTTCGTGGCAAGCTAGGCATCGAGGGGCAGAAGCCCCCCCATTGCTTCGACGCGTTCGGCGCGTCGCTTTTCGGTCACCTCCACAAAATTTCCCGTCGACCCGTGCCCCCCGATTGCGCTCGCGGAGGTATGCAAGGACGGACGAGGAAGGGGTGCATCTCGTCACGTTCGGCGGCTATGTGGAGATGCAAAGATAGGAAACTTAGTTACACTGTCTCGAACTTCGACGGAACGAACGCTTTCGCGTGCACTTAAGGGGGGAATACTGAGAGAGCATCATGCACAGCACGGACGCGCAGAGAACGTCGGGCTTCTAGACCAGGCAGTTGCCATGGCCAGCATTCACGCCACGGGAATCGACTGCGAGATAGACCTCCCCCGCCCCCCCACACATAGGCACCACCATGGGGCACTCCATGGCAGCGGGGGGCTGCGTAGACGCGTGCTCACCGACAGTTGTATGCTGGAACGATGAATTAGCTGGATCTGATGTTAGCTAAAATTGGCTCCGAGGTCCATCGGTAATTGGCGGGGGGGGGAGCAGGTGGACATAGGGACCGGCCTCTTCGTAGACGACGTAACGAGAGTACATATACACGCATACACACCGAATGGCAAGTACATTGCACAACAGCTGAATCACGCAACAGAGAAACTGTAAGCACATATACAAGTAAACGGACATCATTTGACGGCAGACAAGACTAATCACTTCATTGCCCTGGGTGGAAACGAGTCGTTCCAGACCGCCAAGGAGCTCGCTCGGAAACGTTTCCTCCAGGGAGAAGTACGCCGAGAAAGACGCGTCATCGGGCCCATCCTCAGTTTTGACGGCAGGCTGAGAACCGAAAACCGAATCCGAGGGGCTCGAGCAGCTTGGCGATCTTTAGGCGCAGAGTGGCACCAGCCGCTTCATCGCAAGCAGTTGAGGGCTCCTTGCATTTGTTTCGGGTGCAGCGCGGCCATCACAGGATTGGTGGCTTTTGCGTTGCCGCCAGAGATTACCAAAGCGCTGGACACCACCCTCATCAAGTTGCTTTGATGTTTGATGCATGGACGAGCTCGGCACCAGTACGGAGATCGTTGCCGTACAGTAAGCAACGCACCGACTTTCGAGCATTGGGAGATATGTGGCACAACCACAGAACTTCGCGTGCACCGCTTGCGTTGGTACCAGGCCATGGCACGAGGGCCCGATAATCATAAGCAAATGCCCGTGGCCATGTTCGGCACCGCGGAGCTAGACCGTCAGAATGGACGGCCACGTCTCACTCTTGGAGGGCGCCTAACACAGCACAGTACCCCGTGGGCGCGGCAGTGCAAGCACTATCTGCTGGCATTGGCACATTGGCACGAGCGTGAAAATGTTCGTAGAGTTTTTACCATGGCCAACAGGAACCTCGCCCTCACCTTCTCCAAAGTAGACATCCCCAAGAACAAGAGCCTCCCTACCCCCAGAAGTGCAGCTAGAATGTTACGGGTGCAGAGGTTGGTTGAACTTACTGCGTCGGATGGGATGGGAGAGGGCGGCCAACGCACAGCGACGCACGCGCACGACGGCACGAGCAGCGACCACAGCACAGTGATCGATGAATGGATCTGTACGCGTGAGAAAGACGACGGGACCCCTCGTGGCAGAGGGTTGACGGCACACATCACACATGCGCACCACATGAGGAACATGCACTCCATACTAATTTGCACGAGCGTATGTCCCTGGTGCAGATCAGCCTTTGCCTCGCGCGCGTCATGCTTACGACGCTGCCTCACTATGGACAAGAGAGTGCCGCTTACCTGTCCTACCCGCCCTACGTCCTTTGCTTTTCGGTCAATTGAGCAGCATACATACGCGCGCGGCTGCTGCGCCGCAGAGAATGCCGAACTGAACGATCACCTTGAGCACGTTTGCGCTCACGCTGAAGGGCCCGATGGTGCAGAGCTGGAGAGTCGCGACCGACGGGCGACGAGCGAGAGGACCCTCGGACGGAAGCACGCCGCAGCCGTTACGCAAGGCGAACCCCTGGCGAGCCGAAGAAACCGCGTGGCAAGTCCGATGGCTTCGAGGGGAGCGGCGAGGAGCTACTCGCCATGGAAAAGCTGGCTCTCAACAGCGTACGGCAGCTACGGGCCATCCCAGGCAGTCTCCGGGATGTCTTCCTGGTGGAGGGCGGCGAGCATCCAGCAAGTCTGGCGGGATCGGGAGCAGGGGCCAGATGCGCCGAGCGCAGCCAGGCGGGCGAGAAGGCCATGGGCTCCCCACGCGTGCACGTGGCGGCGGAGTTCCTGGGAGCGCTAGGCAGGATGGACAACCTGCCGCCCATGATCAAGAGCGACATGACGAAGCTCAGCCTGATCATGGACGTGATGGGATACGACGAGCTGGCGGACCTGGTGAGGTACCTGCGAATCAAGAAGGCCTACGCAGAGCGAGGGAAAGCAGAGCGCTGGAAAGTACACATCATGCTGAACCCCCTGGGCATGACACCGTTCACGTCGGAGAACAAGGCCGAGGTCAACAAGATCTGCGAGAGGAACACCGAGGAGCCTCTGAAGTTCGACGCGCTCCGCATCCCGCAGATTCGAAGCATGATCTACACGGCGATGAAGGCCACGGGCGGAACGGCCATCGTGGGCGCGCCTCCTCCCACAGCGCTCGAGAGGCAGGTTCAGAAGTTCGTCCGCCAGCGGCAAGCTACGGCGTAGACGTGGCAGGACTGCGCCGACAGGCGCAATTCGGCAGCGGAATTGTGGAAGCGCCTCGAGGGGACACCACTTTCAGGCAAGCGGGGATGATCGGGCTGTTTGCTCGGATTTAGGCTGAGACTGTGCCAACCTAGCTGAGGGCCAAGGGGCCCGTGCGGAGATAGGACGGATACCTGTTCGCGGCTCTGTGCTGGACCCTTGGCCCCAGGTCCCCGCCCCCTCTCCTGGCATCCTGGCCTGGTGTCTGGAGGCGACTCTGGGGGACCCTGCCCACAAACCAACTGGCGGGAGGAGGTGGGGAGCGGGGAGTTTGGAGTGGGGTGGAGCTACTCGAACAGTAGCACTGACGCGTCGAGGTTTTTTAACATCAATTTGAAGCTTGAGGGCCTCGCCCGAGTGTGAGGGGGATGCGCCACAGTGTGATCACCTCTCACCCGTCCAGAGCTGTTGACGTCGGAGGGAGTTCGGCCCAGCGTCGAAGCGGGCCCGAGAGGCTCAATAGGCCATGGGTCCCGCAGGCATCCCTCCGCCACGCCGAATCATCTACTCCACATTTCGTAATAAAAGGGAGGAGGTCTGGACCCTCCAAGACAAGCCATTTCAGACCTCCCCCGTTGGAGAACCCTCCAAAACATCGTCCCCAGACCCCCCAGGCCCTCCAAGACAGCCTGGAAGAGACCCCCCCCGAAATGAGACCCCCCTCCCTTTATTACGAAATCTGGAGTAGCCAGCAGCGAATAGCTCGAGTTCCAGGCGAGCAGCCTCGTTTCAGCTGTCGAGACAGAGGTGAACCGAACTGCCAAGGCTTCCAACTCCTCCTCCTCCTCCTCCTCCTCCTCCTCCTCCTCCTCCTCCTCCTCCTCTATGCCTCCTCCTCTCTAGGCCTCCTCCTCCTTCTCCTCACTTTCCTCCCCCCCTAGCTCGCCGCCGACGCCAGGAGCACGGCCTCCCGAGAGGGCGCGGGGAGGCTCGGAGATCAGGGGCCTTCTTGGAAGCCCTGCCTCCAGAGATCCGACTCCTGGGAAGCTTTCTTCGCCTTTCCCGAAGACGGAAGAGACCTCTCAGAAGGCGCGAGGGCTTCTGAGAAGGCCTCCTCCTTCTCACTTCCACCCCTCGCTCGCCGCCGACATGTATCCCCAGCGATCCGACGCTCCAACAAACATTGGAGCGGCGGGACTTTGGCAATTCGCGGCCTCCAGGGGGCCCCCGCTCGCCGAGCGTCGGAAGCGTCAAACAACGAATCTGGAAGAGAACTCGGCCCCGGGGAAGTGGTCCGGACCTCCGGGGCCCACGCATCGGAAAAAATGGAACAACCGGATGTCTGGGCCGGCTTCAGAGAAGCCTTGGACGACGACGACGACGACGACGACGCCGACGCCGACGCCGACGCCGACGCCGCCGCCGCTGCCGACGCCGACGCCGACGCCGATGCCGACGCAAACGCCGACCACAAGGACGTGTATCTGGCGGCTGGGAAAGATAAACGATGCGCAGAAGGCCCAGGGGACATTCTCAGCATCGCTTCGCCGACCCCTAGCATCATCGACGTGGCCTGGGCCCCACTGGCCGAAATGCCCCACGCAGCCTGCCTCCTCCCGGTCTCGACGGGCATATCCCCGACTGTGGTGGTGGTGGTGGTGGTGGTAGTGGGGGTCTGGATGAAGATTGAAAAAGGTAGGGATCGGTTAAACGATACGGCAGGTACGTGTCGTGACGACCCTGGCGTTGGTTTCTGACACCGCGTGGATTCTGCAACCTCGAACGATCGGCAGCTTTTCCATCGCCCGATCATTCCATGTAGGACGATTTTGGACCACTGGCGGCGTTCAACCTTGAACGCCCGCAGCCCGCGGCGGTGTCGCCGCCGGTCGACACGACGCGAACCTATCGTGAAGGCCAGTCCACAAGAAACCTTCCACAAGAAACCCAACCCTGAGACCCCAATACGTCCATTGCTTAGGAACGTCACGCTCTCCATAGCGAATGCACCGAAACCCAAGAAAGCCAGGGCACCCTGGAGGCAGGCAGTGTGCTTCTTGGCTTAGGTCGGGAATGTCTCCCTACAGGGGGATTTTGGACGAAAAATTAGAAAATGCCGAAAAACGATTCAAACGTGGCCAAACACTACTCAAACCATCGTCCCCTGACTATTGTTGTACTCCCTCTGAATTCTCTCCTGGTAGAGGGACAGGCCCAACTTGATTCTTGGCATGGGCCTCCACTGCTACCGTACTGACCTCCAGAGAGACTCGGGTCGGGCGAAAGGGGGGATAGCAAAGGGGGGGGTGAGAATCAGCTCGCGATGCTGATTTTCCTGGCGCCTTCCGGCGCCAGGGGCGGCCACGTATCGAGGAATGGGCCCCTCGGTGAGGCCGAAACCAGCTGCATGCAGCAGATTTCGTAACTCACCCTTCCCCAATCCTGGCCATCGCTCGGACGTCCATTCCCTGTGCTTGTTTCGGTTTTGTGCGGTGTTTTTTCCCCAAATGATCAAGGATGCTCCTCGATGGCCCTCGCCGAAGGAAAAATGCACACGTCCGAGGGATGCCAGGAATCCACCCCTCTCGCCCGGCCCGAGAGGCCCCCGTGCGCGCTCCGAGAGGCCCCCGGCCTCCCTCAAGGGGGGAGCGCCCTGCAGGACGAGCAACGCGCCCCCACCCCACGGGCGCGTGCGCGCGGCCCCCCAGGAAGCCCCGCGGGGCCAGCCTCGTGCTGCGATCCGGGCGACCCAAAACTACTCGCCATCGCTCGGACGTCCACTCCCTGTGCTTTTTTGGGGGGGGGTTCGCGCGTGGCTTTTCGCCACATGATCAAGGATGCTCCCCGATGGCCCTCGCCGAGGAAGAAGTGCACACGCCCGAGCGATGCCAGGAAAAAGGCGGTCCAACTGAACGGGGGTGGTGCCACAGAGTTCGGGCACTCGGATTGCCGACGTACTGCGCTGGAGAATTGTACTGCCTTGCGTTGCAGATAGTGTGCTGCACGCGAAAAGTCAGCAACACATCTGCGCCCCGGAATGTATTGTACGCCCCGAATGTTTCTTTTGCAGCCCCACAAACCTGTTGCACCGACTCTATTGCACCGCCCCCCTGTCGCTGGACCCCCCCCTTTGGATCAACCCGAGCGATCGCGCAGCGTGCACCTTCGAAATCCACGCGGGCGACGATCAAGACCGGGCCTTGCGCGGGAGGGCCTAGCGTTAAGTCGGGCCTGTCCCCCTACAGAAGGATTTTCGACAAATAAAAAATACACCAAAAAATACTCCAAAAATAGTCTGGGGACTATTTTGTTGGCATTGTTGAACCTTCTTGGTGCATTTTTGGGGTATCTTTGATTTTTCGTCGAAAATCCCCCTGTGGGGGGACACGCCCGACTGAAGCCTAGCGACCTGACGCGGTGGCTTGCGAGGGCCGCCCGCGCGGCACGCCACCCTGGAGACGAGGGCGCCTGACCGCGCGACCTTACGCGGGCAGCGCACGCGCCCACGTCGGCGAAGACGGCCCCGTGTCTTTTGTTGGCGTCGGTCACGTGGATTCGTGTATAGGTTTATGTCGGGCGTGTCCCCCTACAGGGGGATTGTCGACGAAAAATGAAACATACCCCAAAAATACACCAGAAAAGGCCAACAGATACTCAAAAGGTAGTCCCCAGACTATTTTTGGACTATTTTGGGGGTATGTCTTATTTCCGTTGAGAATCCCCATGTAGGGGGACACGCCCGACATAAGTATTGGTACGTCCAGCTTTCTCGCTGTGGGTCCTCAGGAGGGATCATGCTGAGCAAGAAATAGACTCTGATCCTTGAGGGAGGGAACGGGGATGGGTGGTATGCAGACGCCTCAGACGAAACCGCCCACATGTTTTGGGATAGCCCTGAAATCCGATGACCTACGTCAGGCCACGACTTCATCGGGTGATTAGGGTTAGGGGCTGTATTGCGCCGAGTGACCTCACCCCGCTCGCGCCATCCCCCTGGCGCCACCCCCTTTGTGCTCGCCCCCGCGCGCCGACTCGAACCACTGGTGGCCCTTGACTTCCTCGGCGTCGCCCCTGCCGGCGCCCAAGCGGCGTCTCTTCAACTTGGTCAAGAGCCCCGCGATCAGGCTCCGGGCGTTCTCTGTGAGGCCAGAAGGGAACTCTGGCTGAACCGAGATCGCCTTCTGGTAGATCGCGGTGGCCGTGGCGCCCCGGAACGGCGCGTGGCCCACCAGCATCTCGTAGACGAGCACGCCCAGGGCCCACCAGTCCACGCACTTGTCGTGGCCCGTCCTGTTGATGATCTCTGGCGCAAGGTAGTCTGGGGTTCCACACATCGTGTAAGTGCGCGTGCGCACGACCTTCGCGAAGCCAAAATCCACCAGCTTCACGTGGCCGCAAGAATCGAGGAGAACGTTCTCCAGCTTCAGATCTCGGTAGGCGACGCTCATACCGTGAAGGTGGCCAATCGCCAAGATGATCTCGGCCGCGTAGAACATGCCAGCGCCATTATGAAGCCTCTTGGCGGAACGCACGACGGAGAACAGCTCGCCGCCGTTGGCAAACTCCATGAGCATGTATAGGGGAACGAAAAACGACATCAACATAATAACTCGGAGGTCCGCGCGGATTTATCGGATCCGCGCCGAAGCCCCCCGGCGGCGCCTCTGGCGCCGCCCCTGGCGCGCTCCGCGCGCCAGGAGGGGGGTCCAGCGCCGATCCGAGAAATCCGCGGGGCCCTTCGAGTTTTTATGTTTATGCCACTTTTTGTGCCACTAATGTAGAGGTTCGCCTCGTCCTGGAACGTGCCGAACAGCTTGACGATGAACGGGTGGTCGGCCTTGCCGAGCAGCTCCTTCTCCTGCCGCGCGTGCACCACTTGCCTCTGGGGGGACACAAAGGCACTGATACCACACTCTTAGGTCGGGCATGTCCTCCTACAGGCGGATTTTGGACGACAAATACTCAAACTAGCCCAAAAAATATTCAACAACAGTCGAAATCGTCCCCAAACTGTGTTTGTAGAGGAGCATGCCCGACTTACCGCTACTCTCTGGACCTCTCCTGGGACGCGCTCTGACCAGGACTTCGAGGACACGCCGGCCGTGGCGACGAGAGAACTCCACGACGAGCAGCGGGGTATCGGCAAGGCCCGAGGTGATCAGAAAAGGCCGGGGCCGAGGCGGGTCCGGGGCTAGGGGGCCAGGACCGCGGGGCCGGGGCCAGGGCCAGAGCCAGGGTCGGGGCCGGGGCCACGGCCCAAGGCACAGGAGAACGAAGAATGACATAAACATAAGAACTCGGAGGTCCGAACGGATTTCTCGGATCCGCGCTGGACCCCCTTGGCGGCGCCTCCGGCGCCGCCCCTGGCGCGCTCCGCGCGCCGCCAGGGGAGTCCAGCGCCGATCCGAGAAATCCGCGCGGACCTCCGAGTTGTGATGTTTATGCAATTTTTCGCCCCCCCCTGGGACCAGCCCTCGACTGTGCCCTTCTCTCCGCGGGGCCTCCTCCTCAGCACCTCCCTCTTCTTCATGACCTTGAGCGCGAAGGGCGCGGGCTCTCCGCCGCCGGCGCGCACGACGAGGCGGACGGACCTGCGCGGTCTCCCCCCGGGCCGTCGGCGACCCGTGGACGAGGGAGGAGGAGGAGGAGGAGGAGGATGAGGGAGGAGGAGGGAGGAGGGAAGAGGAGGGTGGAGGAGGAGGAGGAGGAGGAGGGAGGAGGGAAGAGGAGGAGGAGGAGGAGGAGGAGGAGGAGGAGGGAGGAGGAGGAGGAGGGAGGAGGGAAGAGGAGGAGGAGGAGGAGGAGGAGGAGGAGGAAAGAGGAGGAGGAGGAGGAGGAGCAGGAGGAGGGGTCGCCCAAGCCCATCGGAGAAGCCCTCCGAACGGACCCCAGGAAGCCGCTGCCCACGGTCCTGACGACGCAGAAGTCGCCGAGCACCCCGCCCCGCAGCGTGGTCTCGCCCCTCCCGCGGGCGGCGGCGGTGGGCCTCCCCCCGCTGGCGGGGCCCTGCACGGGGCGCGCGCCGCCGCAGCCGGCGAGGCACTGGCGCCCGCATCCCGGGCGCGAGGGCCCCGAGGATGCGCTCGCCTGCAGTGCAGAACAAACGAGGGATGCTGAGGGGGGGCCTTCTCTGCAGACGTGTCAGACCAAAAACTGCCTAGAGCGATGGTCCCTGATTCGAAGACGTGGACCTCAGAGAGGCCACGCCTTCGTCGTGTGCTCAGGGTTAGGGGTTCTTGTGTGCTCGATGAACAAGAATACAGTGGAGGCCAGTCCACAAGAAACCTTCCACGAGAAACCCAACCCTGAGACACCACAGGACGTCCATGGATTTTTTGGGTGTTGGAACATCACGCTCCATCGAAGCCCAAGAAGCCCGGGGCACCCTGGAGGCAAGCAGGGTGCTTCTTGGCATGGGCCTCCACTGCGGAAGAAAGCGCTGTGAGAGCACAGGTCTCTGGAGCTCCGCTCGGACTGCTCGGCTCGGCGCCTGGGGCCCCAAATCCGGCGGCGCCTCCGCCCCTGGCCCGATGATCCTCAGAACGTGTGGTGTTTGTCCATCGAGGCCCTTCGATACGACGCAGGCGATGCAATGATCTACTGGTTGGGCTGAAGGGGGTAAGCACACATTGGGCTAACACACGTCCTGAGGATCATCGACTGGCGCGCGCTCCTCGCGCGCCAGGGAGGGAAGGCCCAGTGCCCATCCAAGAACTCCAGGCGGACCGCCGAAGATGGATGCTTGTGCGCCGCCAGGGTATGATCATGTCTGTTACCGATGGGTCGTTTCCCGGGGGCTCGTGGGGCAGTGGGTATGGATGTCTGCCCGCCCACGCAGGCGGGCAGATATCCACACCCACCGCTCCTTGAGATCGCAAGGCACGACCCCGAAGCGGCGGACGTGGACACCTCCCGGCGGCGGAGCTCGTGCGCAACGCTTTTTGTTCCCTGCGGCCTCCGAGCTCTGCGGCGAGGCGTCGCCGTCGCCGAGCCTCGCGCCGAGCCTGCCGAGCTCCCCCGGCGAGGCCTCCGAAGGCTCCAAGCAGCTGGGCTCCGTGCTCGTCGGCGCCCAGCTGTCGTCGAGGCCCGTCAAGGACAGGCTGCCATCGAGGCCCGTGCCGAGCGGGCTGGGCGCCGTCGGCGAGGCCGCCGAGGGCCCGGAGGAGCTGGCCTCTGAGGGGGGCCAACAGATGCTTCACCCAAAGAGGACCCCCCAGCCCTTGGGGAGGGGGCCTAAGTTAGGAGGGCCATCAAAAATGTTGGGGATAGGCTAGGGGGGTCTTTGCTGCAGAATTGTCAGACTAAACCGTCCAGAGGGATGATCCTTAATGCGAAGACGTGGACCTCAGTGAGGCCACGCCTTCATCGTGTTATTAAGGCAGGGTTGGACCTAAACGTTGTTGTTCGTTTTGTGTCCGTGTTATTCCCCACATCCAAAGTGGGGTTCTTGTTTTCTCTGGACACCCCGCGCAGGAACAGGAACACACACACACACCCACTCACACTCTCTCATCATCAACCTCATCAGCATCATCGATGATGCTCTCTCACATGCTTAGTCACTCACATACTCATCATCATCATCATCACTCGCACTCTCTCACACGCTCACGAACATCATCATCATCATCGGCATCGGCATCATCCTCATTCAAACATCATCATCGCCACCACCACTCACAATCAATCGTCATCCTCTTCACCACTCATCTTCACCACCACTCATCATCCTCATCCTCATCATCGTTGAGTAAATTGTGAGGAAGTCTCAGGCGGGAGCCCCCTCCCTATGGGGCCCGCAGATCATGTTGGTAATCCGAGCGGGTCATCGGAAACCTGTAACTGTCGTCACTTTTGGGCTCGTCAAGCCTGAAAATGGAGGAAGTCTCAGGCGGGAGCCTCGTCTGTGAGTGAATTGGAAGGAAGTCTCAGGCGGGAGCTCCCTCCCTATGGGGCCCGCAGATCATGTTGGTAATCCGAGCGGGTCATCGGAAACCTGTAACTGTCGTCACTTTTGGGCTCCTCAAGCCTGAATTTGGAGGAAGTCTCAGGCGGGAGCCTCGTCTGTGAGTGAATTCTGAGGAAGGCTCAGGCGGGAGCCCCCTCCCTATGGGGCCCGCAGATCATGTTGGTAATCCGAGCGGGTCATCGGAACCTGTAACTGTCGTCACTTTTGAGCTCCCAGGCCTGAAAATGGAGGAAGTCTCAGGCGGGAGCCTCGTCTGTGAGTGAATTGTGAGGAAGTCTCAGGCGGGAGCCCCCTCCCTATGGGGCCCGCAGATCATGTTGGTAATCCGAGCGGGTCATCGGAACCCTGTAACTGTCGTCACTTTTGGGCTCCTCAAGCCTGAATTTGGAGGAAGTCTCAGGCGGGAGCCTCGTCTGTGAGTGAATTGCGAGGAAGTCTCAGGCGGGAGCCCCCTCCCTATGGGGCCCGCAGATCATGTTGGTAATCCGAGCGGGTCATCCAAAACCTGTAACTGTCGTCAATTTTGGGTTCTCGCGCTGCCAGAACGCAGTTCCCAGGCCACATTTTGGACGCAACAAGGAAGTTTTCCCCCACATCCAAAGTGGGGTTCTTGTTTTCTCTGGACACCCCGCGCAGGAACAGGAACACACACACACACACCCACTCACACTCACTCACACTCTCTCATCATCAACCTCATCAGCATCATCGATGATGCTCTCTCACATGCTTAGTCACTCACATACTCATCATCATCATCACTCGCACTCTCTCACACGCTCATGAATCATCATCATCATCATCATCATCGGCATCGGCATCATCCTCATTCAAACATCATCATCGCCACCACCACTCACAATCAATCATCATCCTCTTCACCACTCATCTTCACCACCACTCATCATCCTCATCCTCATCATCGTTGAGTAAATTGTGAGGAAGTCTCAGGCGGGAGCCCCCTCCCTATGGGGCCCGCAGATCATGTTGGTAATCCGAGCGGGTCATCGGAAACCTGTAACTGTCGTCACTTTTGGGCTCGTCAAGCCTGAAAATGGAGGAAGTCTCAGGCGGGAGCCTCGTCGGGAGAAGTGAAGTCTGAGTGAAGTCTCAGGCGGGAGCCCCCTCCCTATGGGGCCCGCAGATCATGTTGGTAATCCGAGCGGGTCATCGGAAACCTGTAACTGTCGTCACTTTTGAGCTCCCCAGGCCTGAAAATGGAGGAAGTCTCAGGCGGGAGCCTCGTCTGTGAGTGAATTGTAAGGAAGTCTCAGGCGGGAGCCCCCTCCCTATGGGGCCCGCAGATCATGTTGGTAATCCGAGCGGGTCATCGGAATCCTGTAACTGTCGTCACTTTTGGGTTCCTCAAGCCTGAATTTGGAGGAAGTCTCAGGCGGGAGCCTCGTCTGTGAGTGAACTGCGAGGAAGTCTCAGGCGGGAGCCCCCTCCCTATGGGGCCCGCAGATCATGTTGGTAATCCGAGCGGGTCATCCAAAACCTGTAACTGTCGTCAATTTTGGGTTCTCGCGCTGCCAGAACGCAGTTCCCAGGCCACATTTTGGACGCAACAAGGAAGTTTTCCCCCACATCCAAAGTGGGGTTCTTGTTTTCTCTGGACACCCCGCGCAGGAACAGGAACACACACACACACCCACTCACACTCACTCACACTCTCTCATCATCAACCTCATCAGCATCATCGATGATGCTCTCTCACATGCTTAGTCACTCACATACTCATCATCATCATCACTCGCACTCTCTCACACGCTCATGATCATCATCATCATCATCATCGGCATCGGCATCATCCTCATTCAAACATCATCATCGCCACCACCACTCACAATCAATCATCATCCTCTTCACCACTCATCTTCACCACCACTCATCATCCTCATCCTCATCATCGTTGAATAAATTGTGAGGAAGTCTCAGGCGGGAGCCCCCTCCCTATGGGGCCCGCAGATCATGTTGGTAATCCGAGCGGGTCATCGGAATCCCGTAACTGTCGTCACTTTTGAGCTCCCAAGGCCTGAAAATGGAGGAATTCTCAGGCGGGAGCCTCGTCTGTGACTGAATTGTGAGGAAGTCTCAGGCGGGAACTCACTCCCTATGGGGCCCGCAGATCATGTTGGTAATCCGAGCGGGCAATCGGAATCCTGTAACTGTCGTCACTTTTGGGCTCCTCAAGCCTGAATTTGGAGGAAGTCTCAGGCGGGAGCCTCGTCTGTGAGTAAATTGTGAGGAAGTCTCAGGCGGGAGCCCCCTCCCTATGGGGCCCGCAGATCATGTTGGTAATCCGAGCGGGTCATCGGAATCCTGTAACTGTCGTCACTTTTGGGCTCCTCAAGCCTGAAAAATGGAGGAAGTCTCAGGCGGGAGCCTCGTCTGTGAGTGAATTCTGAGGAAGGCTCAGGCGGGAGCCCCCTCCCTATGGGGCCCGCAGATCATGTTGGTAATCCGAGCGGGTCATCGGAACCCTGTAACTGTCGTCACTTTTGGGCTCCTCAAGCCTGAATTTGGAGGAAGTCTCAGGCGGGAGCCTCGTCTGTGAGTGAATTCTGAGGAAGTCTCAGGCGGGAGCCCCCTCCCTATGGGGCCCGCAGATCATGTTGGTAATCCGAGCGGGTCATCGGAACCCTGTAACTGTCGTCACTTTTGGGCTCCTCAAGCCTGAAATGGAGGAAGTCTCAGGCGGGAGCCTCGTCTGTGAGTGAATTGGGAGGAAGTCTCAGGCGGGAGCTCCCTCCCTATGGGGCCCGCAGATCATGTTGGTAATCCGAGCGGGTCATCGGAATCCTGTAACTGTCGTCACTTTTGGGCTCCTCAAGCCTGAATTTGGAGGAAGTCTCAGGCGGGGGCCTCGTCTGTGAGTGAATTCTGAGGAAGGCTCATGCGGGAACCCCCTCCCTATGGGGCCCGCGGATCATGTTGGTAATCCGAGCGGGTCATCGGAATCCTGTAACTGTCGTCACTTTTGGGCTCCTCAAGCCTGAATTTGGAGGAAGTCTCAGGCGGGGGCCTCGTCTGTGAGTGACTTCTGAGGAAGGCTCAGGCGGGACCCCCTCCCTATGGGGCCCGCAGATCATGTTGGTAATCCGAGCGGGTCATCGGAATCTTGTAACTGTCGTCACTTTTGGGCTCCTCAAGCCTGAATATGGAGGAAGTCTCAAGCGGTTTTGTCCAGGGCGGAGGCGAAGCAGCTCGCGGCAGAGCTGGGTTTCGTGCTGCCTTCCGCCTGAGCGCGGCTGCGCCTCGCTCGAAGCCCGCGGGGTTGTCCCAACGGCTTGGTCTTGCGCGCCAGCGGCTCGCGGGGTTGTCCCGACAGCCTGGCCCGCGGGGTTGTCCCAACGGCTGCGCGACGTGACCAGTAGAGAACGCGCCTGTGCTGGCCGTGGCGGCGACGGCGCCGAGGAACATCGACATGCGCGCTCATGCAACAGGAAGGGGAGGAGGTGGCGGGGCGCGGAACAAACAGGGGGGCGAGGATGGGGACAACGTAAGGAGTGGAAGGGGGGCCCGCGCCAAGGCGACAGGAAATATACGCAGAAGAGACAGCCAGGACGCCTCACCAACCACGAGGACGACGGTGATGTTTTTTTCCAGATTCGCCCAGAGGATTCTTATGTGGGGTTCTTCCGTCGGAGTAATGTTTCGTTTTGCTCTACCTGTTGTCCTGTAACCCCTCCCCGATACGAAAAACAACACACAACCGAAGTCCAGCACAACAGCGTTTAGGTCCAGCCCTGGATTCGGGTTAGGGGTTCGTTTGTGCTCGGTGAAGAAGAAAACTATGTATACCGATGCCGCCGCTCCGCAGACCTCTCCTGGGCTGCGTCCGGACCCGAGCCTCGAGGACAGCCTGGGCGCGGCACCGAGGGCTCGCCAGGACGAGCAGCGGCATCGGCATCTCTTCTTTAAGACTAGGTCGGGCATGTCCTCCTACAGGGGGGTTGTGGAGGAAAGATAACATAGTCAAACAATGCCCCAAGATAGTCAAACACAGTGGGCAGAATCGTCCCCAGACCATTCCTTGGACGATTTTTGCATACTCCTCCTGTAGAGGGACACGCCCGACTTAACTTAGGACTTGCAAAGGAGGAGACACCGACAGAAACAGAGACTTGCGGAGGCCCGCGCGGATTCTTCTCTGATCAGCGCTGCCCCCCCCCCCTCCCTGCCAGGGGGACGTAAGACCT